CAGTTGCAGCCTGTTTGGTTGTCTTGGACGACTCAAACTCAGATTTGAGAAAACCTCTTAAGAGCTTGATCTGCTACAAAAAAAAAAAAAGCCCCCAAAGCAGGGAAGCAAACATGTGTGATGGAAGCCTCTAGAGGATGACTGAGAGCTGCTTTTTTTGGTAGCATGTGTTTTGTGTGCATACACAACATTTTTCAGTTACCTTTCTGAGAAATAAGGAGATGGAGATGATGAGATTTGGCTCTGCTTACGCTGAGGACCAAAGAATCTCAGTGAGTCAGGTAAAGTGAATCACAAAGATTCACTTGCTGTTTTGTTGGGTTTTTGTTGGTTTGTTTTTTTTTTTTTTTTCACCCAAACGTTTTATTAAACAAATGATTACTTGTACAAAGGGAAGAGGTTGGTTCCCTTATATTGAGAGAATAAGGTTGGATGAACTACTAAGTTGATAATTCTACAAGAAGCTATAGGTATAGTTTCTGGAAGCACTGAAACTGGTACTGTTGGTATTCTTTCTGATAACTTGAATTGGTAAATGTGAGAGTTACCTGTTTTTTCTCAGCTCCCAAATTGTTGAAAGTAGGAGCCTGTGTTTATGAAAGTTCTTACAACAGAGACCTGAATCATACAATTTACACTGAATTTATGGGCACTGTCTTCTTTACTCAGCTGTCTCTTGTCACAAGGGAAATGGGAGGATGCCCGGATTCCAAGGGGGTGTTGTCTGTTCTTAGGAATCTTGATGATTATTCACTTGCACCTAGTGGTTGTTAAGTGTAGACCTGAACCACTGTTTTTAGTCCTTCTGCTTAGATGGGATTTCTTTGCTTCTCCATATCCACTGGGTCTGTGGAGGTGTCTGACTGCTGTGATGGGCACGAGAGCCTCCTTTAATTTAAAAATACAAGTCGAGGAAAAGGCGTCTTCCTACCGAATGGTCCATTACTCAGCTTATAATGGTTGGTCTTACAGTCCCTCATTGTGAAGTGAGCTGGTTCTTCTCTATATTTCTGTTACTGTTAAAGTTCAAGATGAAAACTGAAAAGGAGCTAGCTAGTTTTCACCATGGCTTGGGAAAACTGTGTGCCTTGGCAGAGGGATCTATAACTCTTTTGCATCTAATAGTTTCTGCTTAATCTTTGTTCAAAAAAGATGCCTTTGCAACCTCTAGAGATAGGAACTTAGAAGTGTAATACCAGCTCTTTAGAAGCGTGCTGAATTGTTTCGTCTAACACTATAAATGTGGCTTAATAGCTTTCCAAAGAAGAAAGGAGTGTTACTGCTTTTTACCAGATCCAGAAAACCCCAGGTGTTTTCTTCGTATGACTGGCTGTAATGGAGTCAGTTTTGACATTTGCACCATAAAGCATATAGACAGTAGGTTCTTGTGTGTATTATACATATATATGATTTTCTGATACTGTCTGCAGAATACACACTGTACGCTGCTGGAAAAGTATCTTCAAAGTTCTGTTTGATAACAAGGGGGAAAAGAAAAGGGCAATCCAACCTGTTCTTCTGTTCCTGGAACATATATAAAAATCAAGTTTTTCCCTGTAGGAAGCAGCTGGAATGCAAAGTATCTTCAAATTCAGTTCTTACACATTTTTTCCGTACTTCTGTGGGTTCACATTATAGCAATAAGGGAAACTGTAAAAATTATATACCAGCTGCTGAATCTTGAAGCACCTCGGGAGAGCAGAGTTGATTGCTAACAAGTATTTAAGTTCTATGCCAGCTGTGCAGAATAAACATATCTCTAGCTTTTCTAGAAATGGTTGAACTATAGATGAAATGCTGTTTTTCATGTGAGAGTTCTTGTTCTGCATGTTGCAAGCAACTCCTTTACATCTATAGACAATGCTTTATCTTTAGGGAAGAAAGTTTCTGTATGACTATTTTTTGTGAAGGTCAATTTTTGTCATAATAAGAAGTAATTCTCCAAAATCTCTTTCAGAACATTGCTGAGGGGCTTTCAGGGTAAAGGAATACAGCTTTTAGAAAGCCTCAGAGGAATTTAATAAGGGATAATACTACAGATGCTTATAATGGCTTCTTGAAAGTGTAGTGTGAACGTATAACCTTTATTTTCATTAGTCTTTTAATGTTTCAATTTTATCTCCTTCAGTTTCCTGTATAATTCATTTTGACTTTTAATTACTCATTAAGAGAGCAATCAATATAACCATACAACTGCTGATAATTCTAGAATTGTTCCTCTTAATATTGCGAAGCTAAACTGGAGATAATTCAGTTTTGTCACCCTATTTTTCTGATTTTTGTATTTTGGTGAGTTTGTTCAAAGTTCAGTACAGTAGTACAAGTGATGGGTGGGCTGCAGTCCTACAGACATACACCTGAGGTTGTTAGGACACTGATATGAAAATCAGTCACAGATCAGATTTTGTAATCAGTGGGTAAATAGGGAGCTTTAAGCATAAATTCATTCATTAAAACTGGGCATCTACTGAAATCAAGGTCTTAGTGACCAGTATGTGAGCAGACAAGGTTATTGCTACCAAGTACAGAAGTTCATTTCTTACAGCATAGTCTCTACCAATAAGAATAAATTAGTGCACTTAAATTTTCCAAAAGGCTAAAACATACTGCAGCATATGCCAGCCCAAGCTAAGTACTATGTGTTACATTGCTTCTTTTGTCTTTATAGTTGGAAATAAAAAAAGCCACCTGTGAACACTTCCTGAAGAATCCAGTGAAAGTCTTGTAGGGAAATCAAACTTAAGTCCGATATTTGGATACTGATGTGCTTACACTTCCTTCACAGAACAGCTGCTTTTAGGTCACAGCTGTCTGACCCTCACCTATAGCTTTGTAAAGATTTGTGTGTTTGTACTAAGAGCTGTGGTGATCCAGAATGGCAAGACTGCAGCCAGCTTTCAGTCGTGTCAATCTGCTGGGGTCTGTTTCCATTCACAGCTGATAGACTTGCTTATCTCTAATTTGAAGTGTGCAGATAAAGGTTCTGATAATGTATGACCCAGAAAATAACTTTCACACTGGTAAGGTGAAGGATGTGGAAATGCATGTTCTGGTTATTTCTGCTATTCTGACTTAAATAACACACAGTCTAAACAGCTAGTGAGATCAGTTAACAGTAATGAAGCACTCACATCCTTCCAAAACCTTGTATCTAACATTTTAACTCTTATGAAAGCTTGAACAATATATAAGTCTTAAGGCAGGGCTCAGTAGCATATGCACAGGTGTCTGGTGTCCTTTTAGACCCACCAGGGTATGATGCCAATGCAAGATGCTGTGCATCACCTGCATAGGTCATACCTGCCGGTGCTGTGGCGGTGTCTCAGGGACAAAGTATTCAATATTACTTAAACTTTGCAGTATTAATGAATTTAGCACTGTGGTTTTTAGTTTTATGCAGCTAAGCTATTGCATGTATTTGAAAAAATAGTTCGGTGAAGGCAAAGCTGTAAAATGGACACTCTTCAGGGTTTCTGTAAAATCAGGTTGTACTGCATTTTTTGTTGCATACCACTTGAAAAAACTACTCATACCAAGTTTTGTTTTGCACAGCACAGCGTCCGTACAGAGGTAGCCTTCCATCTAGCTGCTGTGTGCTGCAAATACATGTTTTTTCAAATGATAATAAAAATAATGTGCATGTGTGAATGGCTAAATTTTCACCCTGTACTTGGTTGGATTAAAAGTATTTATTCCCCAGTTCTTTCTCAATTCATTCATTGCACAGATTGCTTCCAGCACAGTCCTATTTGTTTCTGTCACATTTACATTTGTTGGTCAGTCTTCTAAATGGATACGTATGTGCTGCATTCAGTAGTACTAAACTGGTGTGCAGGTTTCTGTTCTGTGCTAGCAGGGTGTACGCACATGCTTCTGTCTGTACGGTGATAGAACAGTGTTCCTCCACCACCAGAGAAACCCCTTTTCCTCGCTTCCCACCCGTTTCTAGATGAGTGTTACTTGAATGCTCCTCTTCATTTTGAAGGATGGAGGGGAAAGGCAGTCTGCTGGCAAAAGGAAACCTCTCCTACCTCTGGCTTCTCTTCCTACTTGATTGTAGTGCTATTTATCTCTTCTTCACAGCTGTTAAGTACTCTGGGAGTGAGGTGGTCAGAAGAGGGGGTTGTGGCTTCTGAGAGTGGCTTGTCCTGTTCCAGGGCTAACTTCCCGTCTGTCTGCCACAAGCTGAACTTTGTAGGGAAAAGAGCACTCTTGTCACTGCCTGGCTTAAAGTCTTGCTGGAATGAACTCTCCTTTTCATAAATGAAACATCAGCTTTTTTTGGTTAATTTGTGCTTGTAAGAAGTGGTTTAGTTCACATATTCACACGTGATGCTCTCTTTTAAAAACTTGTATAAATTAAGGATTTATATCGGCTATAATGCATTTGTAGTGGAATTAGGAAGAATATTATATTTCTGTAGCCTTTACTTTTTTTTTATTTAATTCAATTAAAAAACTTAATTGCATAGCTAGTAAACTGATTACTGCAGATCTTAGCAGTTACAAGGATAACTGTGTCCATAATACTTAAGGCTTTGCTTTTAAGTTCCTTTACAGAACCTTCCATTTTCTTGCACTTTTGACATGATCAGTGTAGCCATACTAGAGGAACCACTTGTCCGTTGCATGGATTCTGACAAATATGGGAATGGTTAAAGCTCCTGTGGAGACACAGGTCTGAGTTGGACCTGTGATGGAGTACAAGCATTGTTTCATTTATCAGCATCCTGTGCATTAGTATGAGAGAATTCTGTTGTGTGCATTTTATGGAAGTGGCATATGACTTAAAATTTAACACGTTCTGCTTAAGTATTACAATATCAATGGAAAATGTGCTGTAAGACTAGAAACATGATTCTGTTATATGGTTAATTAAAAAAAGCCAGATTTTTAATATGAGCTCAGTTAGTGGAAAACATCAACAAAGACTTTTTTGTTGGCTGTCAAATGAGAAAGAAAGAAAAGACTTAAATTCTTTCTCTAATATTTCCTTCCAGGCTGACTCATCAGTAGAAATTGAGAAGAGCTGCAGAAGAGAAGCCAAACAGACAAGCTGAGAGCTCAAAGAAGTACTCTTTTGAGTTGGGGGTTCAGAGTGGAGCCATCATGAGCGATGTTACCATTGTGAAAGAAGGCTGGGTTCAGAAGAGGGGTAAGTTCTACCTTTTAATGGAAAGTTCTTCTGACATACCATATGCTGTGCTCAATGGCATTCCATGGCTACACATATGAGCATTCTTGATTTGTCTTCTGTTCTGCAGCAAACTAATCTGACCATATGGAATTAATGGCCATAAAGGCCTTGGTCTGGTTAATACTTAACCCTTAGCAGTACCTCTCTTTATAGGGGTAACTGACAGTAAAGAGGAAGTTGAACTCATTAATTACCTGCTGTTGTTGCTGCTGTCACCTGTGTATCGGACTAAGTTGGCTGTTGTGGCAGCTGGAAGAAGTAGCAATAGAGGTGCACAATCGAAGGTTGCCTGGAAGCTGTTGTGGATGTGATACTTTGTGCCAAAATTAGAGTCTGTGGCTCAGCTTGTATTGCAGATGCAAGCAGTCCCCATAAAATCAACGTAATGCTTACATAAAGCTAGGCATGCACCTAATTACTTTGCAGACATGGATGCCATATAATAAGAGAATGTGTTCCTTATTACAAGCCAGTCTAAAATACGATCTTCTGTTACATTTGAATTCCTGTGAATTCTTGAGATGTTGCTTTATAGTGCGTCAGCATGTGATTTGCAAATTTGGGAAGATTGCTGTATGTTAAGTTTTGAAAGGGAAACCTCTAGAACTATCTGGCATTTGTATCATGTAATGAACTTTGGATGAAATCTTCCATGCTTCATGCTGTTCTGCTTTGGGTTGTGGTTGCTCACATGATTATTTCCAAAAGAACATCTCTCTTGCAGAGAGAAGGTGATCTGGATTACAGGGTGATTTATGCCATGAGCTTCTTTGATTCTAGCCCAGAGAGATTTAGACTGGAATAGTGGGAACAAAATTACCCTTTAATTTACAAAGAAATGCTTTGTTTCAACAGCAGTGTGTGAAGACAAAGATCATTATTGCAGATTGACATTAAATGTCAAAGAAGCCAAGAGGATGAGAGAAAAAGTTTATTATTCTGTTATTATTCCTGCATAAATTGTACTTCAGGATGCGTTAAGGGTTTTGTAGATAAAAATGGGCTAAACTGTGTGAAGCTTAAGGCCTGCTTCCTATTTTGGAGTATATACTTAACAACAAATCAAATTTTACATTACAGGAACTATTTAAAATATTACATTGTTTTTCCTTCCCAGCCTTTTGCTGTTTACTCAGTTTGGGTATCTGATTTCCTTTTTTTATTATTATTTCTTTAAATTTCTTTAAAATGTATTAGAATGATTAGGATGATCCAAATAATTTTCTTGACATCAGTTCCTTTATGTAATAACACTCATTCTTGCTACACCCTGATATCAACTCAGTGAGCATTGGACATGCATGCTTTAATCACTGGGGTCCAGAAGAGGACAATGCCCAATGAAAGTCAATGTCTTACTGAATATTTGGAATTCTGAACCTTAAATAAAGGTTTTCCTCCATGCTTTTTTACTATATATTAATTGAAGAAAAGCCTCCTGAGTGGGCATTTCGATGTCAGCTTTGCTAGTAACTGTTTGCTTAGTAAAGACATTTCGTGACATTTGTTTGTCCTTATTTTAATTAACTTTGAATGTATATTTTTTTCCTTCTTGATATAAGTAATTGTGTAGGTTTAAGTAGGATTTTTTTTTTTCTCATTAGATTTAATAGTGCCCTTATTTTTCTGTGTCTGACTTATTCTGGTTGTTGGTGGATTAAAGCATTTGTTTTGTTTATTTCTGAAAACAAAAGGAAAAGTGCAGTATTATTTTCCAATGGCAAGACTTTGTAAGCATTTAATTCAGTGATTACACATTTCATCCAATTGCACCTTCTACCCTGACCTTGCTTGGAAGCAAGAGGATTGAAGTTGTCAAGCACTTTTTTTTTTCCTTAATCTAAATTCTGAAAGTTGAAATATGCTCAGTAGACACTTCTTATTTTTGCAGCTAAATATTCTCTCTCTGTATACAGAAGCATTGTGGGATTGGGTAAAGCTGCCCTGCTTCTGCAAGTTATCATGCTATTACAGTTTTAAGGTGAATTCTCTGATCATCCCCAGTTGATACTCATTGGCTCAGTTCACAGGGTTCTGGTAGGTACAAACGAGGTTTCTGTTGGAGGCATCTTAGCATGGGATCTGTTCTCCAGGGAGACACCTAGTGAATTCCAGCCCCAGTGTTTGGTCCTTTGGACAGCCCTGAGCCATGTGTGTGGTGCAGTGTTCAGTCTGAGGCTCCAGGCTGAATTTAACTTGAAATAAAACTTGTAAACCCTACATGCTGGAGACAAGGAGCCTGGGCAGCAGCTACATTCAGTTGACTGAGATTATAGGCTGTTACAAGAGCAGGTTGAGTGAACTGAATGTAGGAATGAGAGGAAGGTACTGGAGGTTGAGCTGAGGATCTTTCTGGATGAGGCTCTGATAGAGAGAGGCTGGGGAAAACAAGGCGTGTTAAGGCACACCAATACAATTCTTAATGGCTGTGAAACATGCTGAGAAAATGTTTACTTTATTAACACTAGTGCTGTATCCATGTCAGTAATAGAAAGGCTGGGGGCTATGTGCAAGCTTTTAACTTTGTTGTCGAACACTGGAGAACCGATGTGATGCTACACAGTTGGCTTCAATGCTCTGTTTTTCTGTGTGCTTAAATGATGAACCCATCAAAGTGTTATTATTTTAAAATTGGCCAGCACTCAAAGTGCAGAATTAAGTTTATTTAATTAAGAATGATCATGCTTGGGCTTTGAATAATTTTTAGAAGTTTCAATGTGGTGAGAGACTAGATGATACTGAGGAAGAATGAGCTGTTATATGTGAATGATCAAACAGGCAGAGATAGGCAGAAAGGTGAGAACTTTGGACAATAGAAAACACAAGCCAAGAGGAAGCAAAGCTGAGAAGCTCAGTGAACCTCAGGTGCAGTCAGGTCTCATCTTCCAGGTGAAAGGAGACCTTGAAGCACAGCGTCTGGGCCTGCCTGAACAAGTAATGTAGTCCAGTGAGAGCAGATTCAGAGAATGAAATAATGGGTGAAGACCTGATACCTATCTGTACTCAGGGTGTTTGCAAAGGGAAGTGGATGTTAGGTTGGACTGGCTGCTCTTTGCTCCTGTGCCCTTTGGCAGTGCTCCTGGAGTACATCTTGTGAACCAGGTTTGTGAAGTGTGGGGCTGCTTCATGTGGGGCAGCAAATGGAAGTGCATTAACTAGGATGATGGGAAGATTGGTTGCAAAAGGGCTCTCCTTATCTGAACTAAAATACTAATGCAGATACACCCTGTGAGATATCAGAACTTGTACAAGTGAAGAGCCAGTGGAGCAGTCCTCTTAGAGCAAGGTTTCTGCCCAGGATGCTCAGAGAGGAGTAGGAATGTATTGTACGGATGGTTGTATGGTTGTCTGTGACTTACTATCTTACATCTAGTGATAAGAACCAAGCATCTCATGGCTTTGTGTCACTGTGCTGCTGCAAGGGTGCTCTTGCAGTTCACTGGCTCAGTGTTTTGTTTCAGAGAGGATAATAATTTTTCCTTCTTTCTGTTTTCGAGTTATTCCTGTAGCCATATTAGGCGAGAGATGTGTTGTCTTCCTTTATGAGTTTCCTTTTTAGATGACACCAGTGTTTCTCGTTCTAATGCATACAGGTGAAAAGGAAGTGATCTTGACTAAAAATCTGGAATACAATAATCTGAACCTTGCTGCTGATATGCAGAAGTTAAAGCACATATTTGACTTTTATGCATTTAGTGTAAGGACTGTACCTTAGTGTAAGGCTGCTGAAATGACTTTTACATTTTTGATTTGCTTATAAGCATGATGTTTTGCAGAGTGTTGTTTAAATTATTGTAAGAGTATTTTTAATTTTACTTAATGTGATTTTACTAAATTATGTTTTACTGAGGAGGGATATGTTTTTAATTGATCAGTTTGGAAACAGCTGTTTTTTTTAAATGGATGAACATATTTTGTATGATTAGAGCTATGTCATTACAAAAGTGGGTTTTGTGCATATAATTCAGGTAGCATTTTTTTTTTCTTTAAAGCTAAAGTTTCCTGTGTTGTAGAGTTGACCTTGTCTGTGGTCTATAATAGTCACAACTATTAGATTTAAGAATTAGTAATAACTATGCTTAATTGCAACCTAATTTCTTTATATATAACCTGTGCACAAGATTTCAATTAGTTTAAACATATGAAAAGCTTTAAGAATCTTTGCTACCGTGCTATTAAAGGATCATTTGGGACCAAGGAAAAATTGACACAGATGGTAAATTTTAAAGGACCCAGTTCTAGATTTATCATGTCAACTAACTTTTTAATTGAATGAGTATTTTATTTATTTATTTATTTTTAAATCTGGCAGAATATACCTAATGTGTACTGCAGAGCAAGATGGCAAAATCACTATTTAAAGACAAAGCAAAATGTTGCCCGTTTAAGGCAGTGCTTCTGTCCTCATACTTCAGTTACTGTACCTCTGTTTGGGCTTCTGCATTTTAGTGTGTTGCATTAGATGATGCTACTTGTTATGGCAATCTTTACATGTCTTACATAATATATTTTTACCCAAATTATATTGAATAAACAGTGTATCCGACTTGCTTATGGAGGTGACTTTAATATAATCTCACAATTTTTCCTGTCCTCATTTTCTCACAACGCTCACCTGAAGTATAGAAGAACTACTATGCTAATTTTATAGAGAGGGAACTGAAGTATAAAATTGCTCTGGCTTAACCATGGTAACTTCAGAAGAAGTTTGATGTAATGAAATGGTGCTAAAAACCAGATGTTGTGAAGCTTTCCTATAATGAGATTGTCCTCTACACAGTGTATCACTGACATACTGTAATACCATTTTTCACTCAGAGTTTTTCTTTTTTTTTTTCCCTAAATGCAGCCTTTTATAATTTCTTAGTATCCAGAACTGAATTACCTGATGTAGTGTCAGTGTTTCTAAACTCATAGAGTTTATAGAATTTGTTTGACTCACTGTGATGAGACTCACT